TAGAAATAATTAAAAATGGGTGTAGATCGTGGATTATAGCCCATGAGTTCTTCACTTTTGGACACTAAGAGTTATCTGGCAATGGTTTAGAATGAATAAAAATGGCATGAATTTGTGAGTTATACCTCATGAAATCCTGAATTTTTCCCTTTGTAGAATTATTTATAAATGGCTTGGAATGACTAAAATGGCTAGAAACTGTGTGTTATAGTTCATGAAATCTTGAATTTTGACATTCATGAAATTATTTGACAAGAGGATAGAATGAATAAAAATAGTCGCAAATCATGGTTTATAGATCATGAAATCCTAAATTTGGGTCTTCAAAATATTATTTTCCTATGAGTAGAAATGACTAAAAATTACCAAAAATCATGGGTTGTATTCGATTCAGATATGGCTCTAATATGATACTTACCATATCCATATCCACTTCCCCATCTCGGATACTACGGATATACCTTTGTAAGAAAAGTTCATATCTATATTAACTAAAATCGGATACAGATACGGATATACATGTGGATATATAAGCAGATATGCATGTAGATATAAAACGGATATGAGAAAACTAGATGGCATTGAAAAATATAGTTCATGTGATACAAAAAAGTTCATTAATATGTTCATTATATCTGAAAAGCTAAGATTAAATATCTTGATTATCAAAATTAACCTCAAATGTATAATCTAAGGACTAAACTATCTTAACACTATGACTGATATATTTTTGAATATTTTGGATACAGATTTAGATATTTCACTACAAAACCATATTCTAACTATATCCCATCGGTTATACATTTGAGTAACCATATTCGTATCCTAACGAATATGGTTACATATATTTCCTCAGATACAGTTATAAGTTAGAACCTTTAGTTATAGTTCATGAAATTATGAATTTTAGTATCCATGAATGATATTTTGTTAATGGCTCAAAACGACTAAAATGGCCAAAATCCTGATGCAATCTTGAATTTTAGCGTACATAAATTGTTTTTCTGTGGTAAAAAAAACTAAAGATCCCACAATGGGTCTGAATGAATAAAAATGGCCAAAGATAGTGTTTTATAGCTCAAGAATCATGACTTTTACCCTCTGCGAAATAATCTGCTAATAAGTCAAAATGAATACAAATGGTAAGAAATTGTGCGTTATATTTTAGGAAATTGGGCATTTTGGTACTCGTGAAATTATTTGGCTATGGGCAGAACAGATAAAGATGGTCACAAATCATTGATTATAGCTCATGAAATCTTAAATTTTGACATCTGCAGAATTATTTACCAATTGGTTTGGATAACTAAAAATGACCAAAAATCATGTGCTATAACTCATGTAATCATGAATTTTAGCCTCAATAAAAAGTAATGGTAGAAATGAATAGAAATAGCCACAAATAGTTGGTTATAGCTCATAAAATCGTGAATTTTGGCTGACGCATATTTATCTGCCTTAGGGTCAAAATGACTAAATATAGCTAAAATTATTGGTTACAACTCATGAAATCATGAATTTTAGACTCCATGAAATTATCTGCTAAAGGCTTGCATGATTAAAAATGACAAAAAATTACAGATTATAGCTCATGACATTCTAAATTTTGGTCCCCACAAAATTATTTTATTATGGATAGAAATAACTAAAATTGGTTGTAAATCGTGGATTATAGAAATCTTGAATTTTGGATACTGACAATTATCTAGCAATGGGTTAGTAGAAATAAAAATAGCCTAAATTGGTCAGTTATGGCTCATGATATCATAAATTTTGGTTCCCGTCGAATTATTTGCAAATGGCTTGGAGTGACTAAAAAAAGGGTAGAAACCCTGCGTTATAGCTCATGAAATCATAAATTTTAGTATCCGTGAAATTATCTAGCAAGGGTCGGAAAGAACACAAATTGTGGATTATAACTTATGAAATCCTAAATTTTTGGCCTTCAAAAAATTATTTGCCTATTAGTCAAAATAACTAAAAAAATACCAAAAAATCGTGATTTATAGCTCATGAAATTATGAATTTTGGCATCCATGAATAGTATTTTCTATTGGCTCGCAACAACTAAAAATGGCAAAAGATCCTCTTGAAATCCAAAATTTTAGCATACATGAAATTATTTTCCTGTGGGTAGAAACAACTGAAAATGACACAGATCGTGGATTATAACTCATAAAATTATAAATTTTTGACACTGAAAATTATTTAGTCAGATCGAATAAAATTGCCAGAAATTGTGTATTATAGCTCTTGAAGTGGTGAATTTTGGTCTCTACAAAGCCATTTGCCAGTGGGTCAGAATGAAGAAAATGGCCAGAAATCGTGTGTTATAGCTTATGAAATCATAAGTTTTAGCATCTGTAAGATTATTTAGCAATGGATGGAATGGATAAAAATGGCTACAAATCATGGGTCATAAGATTTGAATTTTAGCTTCCATAAAATTATTTGACAGTGGCTCCGAATGACTAAAAATAACCAGAAATTATGTGATGTAGCTCATGAAATCATGATTTTTGGCCTCTCCGGAATTATTTGGCAATGAGTAGTAATGAATTAAAATTGTCACATATCATGAGTTATGAAAGCACCCTAATGCCACTAGGAAAGAACCCTAGAGGGGGGTGAATAGGGTTTATGCTAATCTAATCCGATTTATACCAATTTAAAAATTTTACTAACAAATATATCCTAGCACAAGAGATATGAACAATATATGTGCAAGGATATACAAATATCACAAGGGTAAACAAACTAAACTAGATACTGGGCAAAATTAACGTAAGCAAGACGATATAAACAATAAGCACGAATATAAATGAATGCTAATGACAAACGCAAACAAACGATATGATCACGGAGTTCGGTCCCCACGACCTACGTCTCCGCTCCTCACCTCGAGGAGATCTCCACTATCATAACCGGGTTTTCTATGCTCACGCTCACCCGAATAACATTTATACCTCACACTCGGTTTTCTAATTTAACGAAAACTTTACAATCCATACTCTTGCAATCACACTCTACACCCTCTAAGTGTTGGTCTCTAGCCCGTGTCTCCCACAAGTGTTAGGAATTACAACCTACCTCTAGGCATTACCACCTACCCTACTCCTCTTGGGACGACCCCGTCTCTCACCACACACTTCTCTCGGTGTACAAGTGTATTACAAAGTGTATCTCACAATGAAGCTCTCAATACAATGATTGTTCTCTAAACAAGGTGAGAACTCAATTAAGCTCAACTCAATTTTACAAACTCACAACCCCAAATATACTATGTATAAAAATACTAAAAGCTCAATATGGGTGTGTGTAACAAAGAGATAAATCAATACTAAACTCAATGTAATTCTAGCCACACCTGAATGCTTCGCTCGCCCGCACGAGCCAAGCACGCATGCATGGAGTTCGCTCACATGAACTCCGCATGCCAACAAACACCAGCTCACACATTGGAGGGGCCCGCCAGCCGACCCCGCCTGTTCGCCAAGTTTGCTTGCAAGCTCGCCAGAGCATTCATACAACTCTCGAGCTCGTCCGTAGCTTTGCCAGCATCGCCTGAGCAATGCAAGCGGGCTGCTTGCTTGTGCGAGTGGGCCTACCCACTTCCCACATCCTAGGTGATGATTGGACATGGCTCTCACCTCCCCTATAGTGGTCACATCCCATAGCTAGGGGAGGGCATGGTCCTCCTCACCTGCTAGTGGTCAAATCCCACAAATCAATGGATGGCTCATGCCATCCCTTGCCTATTTAAAGCCTCCTTCAACCAACATGAAAGAGGTTGGATGGAGGCTGGAGATTTGGAGACTCAAGGCTCTTCAAACAGAGACCTCCATATGGCTCACCTGCTTAGTAGAACATTCCTAGCCCCTTGCTCGGATTGTTGAAGCAGACTCAATCTGAACCCTCAGATTTGAGGCTCGTCAGCTCTTTGCAAACTCTTTCATCGTATCTCTCTCCAAGCTCGCGACTTTTCAAGCTCGGGTATAGTCGAACTCAATCGTTTCGGAGCCTCTACTGCGTACTAAAGCTCTAACCGTAACTTCGATCGGATCATCCATGGGAAGCAAACTCGACGTGAGCATCAAGGGAGGCGTCCTACCGCTGCCAACAAACCCACGTTAAACAAGGAGGGCCATTCCCTCCTCCTCTGTTGAAAAACATTAACCATTATTTTGTAATAAGCCATTCTTATAAATACAAACAGGCCCCTCGAGCGGGAGGTCAATCTGTTACGCACCGACAATAGGTTTTCACTAGCGTAGATTGTGTCATGCTCGACGGATATCACAAAGCCATGCTTCAGAATCTCTCGACGAAGGCTTTGATAGACTCTCCCTTCCTTTTTTAGTGAGAAGAAGGGTAGGGACGGAGACTTCAGTGTCGTCTTCGAAGAATCTAGCTAGGAAGAACCTCTCTAGATCCACCCACTTCTAAATAGATCCAGTAGGAAGTTTCATAAACCATTCAAAGGTAACCCCCTTGAGGGTGCCAATAAACAAACGAGTCAATATGGCATCGTTTGATATCACATCTCTAGTCTATAACTTGAAGTAGTAGATATGTTAGTTCGGTGACCCTGTTGTTGGGTCCTTTTGTTTTGATGATGATTAACAAATAATTTATAACTAATATTGTTTGTCTAGTATTTGTGTTTTGTATTTATTCTTGGCAAACAATATGTTAGAGATTGGATGGAATTGCACCATTCACGATCATATCCAATGGAGGTTAGCGGAAATAGTGGAGTGAAGGAATGGAATTCATGTTGAAGATCCAAGTTCAAGCTTCATCCGCAAGTGTACCAAGATAGAGCTTTGTTGAAGATCACAAGCTTGGGTATATTTAGTTTAGGTTTTTATATTATATGTGTTAAGTACTCTAAGCTCAATCATATACGCACACATTTTATTGGTTATATATATATATATATATATATATATATATATATATATATATATATCCAAATTACCCTTCAACCAATGTAAATATACCCGTGTTATCCCTTATAATCGATCGATACACAGAATTCATCATAATCAGAAATGAAAAGCCTTAAACTTATCGTAACGCACCGCCTCTGCCATCATCTCCACAGCTCTTAGATTCTGACAACGGTAAGGATTGAGTTTCTTCTTCTTCTTCTTCACCCCGCTACACAAAACCCTAGCTATTTGTTCTAATTTTGCCCTAATTCTCGATTTCCTGCAGTTTCAAGCGACGAGGGTTTCAATATTCGAAGGGCAGTTGGAGCGAGATTAGAAAGTAAGTGGAATCTCGATCTTTCCATTTCTCAGTTAGAGCAGTTCTTTTAAACTAATCCTGCACTTTTCTACTCTTATTATTGATTATTGATCTTATTGATTCGTTCATCAACTTTTTCCTTTCCCATTTAATTCATGCGCTCAACAGGATTTTGGTGAATAAGATCACGTCCCCTTCAAAGACCTCAGCTGGGATCTTGCTTCGCCAAGGTACCATCTTTAAATTCAGTGCTTTTTGCCAAATTTTGCCGTTTTCCCTCTATTTTGTTAATGAGTACCATCTTTAAATTCAGTGCTTTTTGCCAAATTTTGCCGTTTTCCCTCTATTTTGTTAATGAGTTTTTCTCCAAAATCGAAACTTTGATATGGATCACTCTTCTTTTTTCTGTTAATTGTTATTTTTGTTTTTTTGTACTTATGTTCTTATTTGAGTTGTTTTTTAATCAAATGGTTGCTAATTTAGGAATTCTCATGTGTCTAGATGATTATGCATTTTTTATGTTATATTGTTGTATACATGATGCAAAATGAAATGCATTAGAAATTCATTTGTTAGGAGTATGAAACAAAATTATGCAACATTGTCAATCTATAGAAATGTATTGGATCTACTGCTGTTATGTTGGTTATAGAGTTAAAAGAACACTTGACAAAGAAAACTTTCATATCTCGGAACAAGGACAGGCTAAGACAATGTACGTGGGCCGAACCATGGATTTTATCAGTTCCAAGCAAGCATTAATAGCGCAAGCTGTAGTTTGGTGTGCACATATTTATACATGGACACCAATTTGCTTTGAGTGGCTTTGAGGGTTTGTCCATCAATGGTTGTCTGCTACCTGGCAATGCAATTCTCCTATATTAGGTCCGAATGCTGTTTCGATTGCTTGTTTTCACAAAAAGCGGGTTATGTCAAGTTTTGTATAATGTAATGATAGCCGTTCAACAATATTTTGGAGAGGACGATTCTGACTCGCTCCAAATTTGAGTTTGGCATTCCTCTTGAGATTTGGACTCATTTTTTGCATTTGACTTGAGAAAAAAAATCAAAGGTATAAACATTTGTGATTAGGAATTTGATTCTCTGTGCACCTAGACATAGTGGAGAGGAGGCTTTGAGGGTTTATCCATTAATGGTTGTCTGCTACCTGGAAATGCAATTCTCCCAGATTAGGTCTGAATGCTGTTTCGATTGATTGTTTTCACAAAAAGCGGGTTATGCCAAGTTTTGTATAATGTAACGATAGCCATTCATCAATATTTTGGAGAGGACGATTCTGACTCTCTCCAAATGTGAGTTTGACATTCCTCTTGAGAACTGGACTCATTTTTTGCATTTGGCCTGAGAAAAAATCGAAGGTATAAACATTTGTGATTAGGAATTTGATTCTTCGTGCACCTAGACGTAGTGGAGAAGATTTGTGTCAGTTGCTTCTTTATCTGTGAGTTAAAGCTTTGTGTCGTTTAACTCCATTACAAGATCAATGGAAAAGCATATTCTTAGGTCCGTGAATGACCCCTATGAAATTTCTTCATTTTTCTAGTTATCTTTATGTTTTCATATCAGATTATGAAAATATAACTGTTGAGAGCTTGCCATCAATGCAAGGATGAAAGCTTTTCTGTGGATATATAGTTGTCTACCTTAGTTTTATGTGGTAATTAGAATTGAAAAAAATCATGTCACTTATTGATAGTGTAACATAATGAGAACTGAATCGTATTTGAATATTTTTTAGATTTACCATCAGTTTTATGTGAAAATGTTAGAAGAAAAAATTAATATCAGTTTTACATGAACATGTCAGAAGAAAAAAAAAGTAGACGATCAGTTTTTGTTTTAAAAGTAGCTATTCCATGACGTAGTTGTTTATGTACTTGAAATATATATGTGTGTGTGATTGTAAAACTTATTATATCCGGATGTATTATACTTTTCTATCATCAATCTTGCACAACTTATTTTGAGAGAGCTTTGGCAAAAGCATAGAATTCACACATAATGAACTGCATTCAACCACACCTAGGCTTACATAACTTGAATTATGAAGATATTTTTCCCACACATGACGAAGAGATGTTCACAACCCTCAATTTCTACTCCCTCAGTTGGTGATGGAAAAAAAAGACAACAGAGGCTGAAGGGGAAATCAAAATTTGAATTTATGTAGCTTACATGACACACTCAATAGCTTGCATGCAGATTCCAGTCATCGTAGCCTCTGGCCCATAAACCTGCAGCAAAAAATTCCCAAATTTCAATTAGTTAGGCATCCAGCAGGAAAGTCAGACAAAATGACCTAAATTTTGATTTCTCAGCTAAATTAGATCTATTTTACACCAGAACTCAACTGAACATGACCTGTAAAATATCAAATGATTGTTCGATTTTGGTGCTTTACCCTTTAGTGTGTTGTGTGCTATTCTAAATAGGAGTATACTAAACTGTTTTGAACCTGTTCTTTTATTCTCTTTTCTTCTCAATATAGCTTCTTTTTACTCAAATGAAAATCGACATATGACAAGTTTGATAAGCAACTCCCTGACCAAGCAATTCCTTCATGCAAGCTAATATAACTAATTTATCATGATAAGGACTCTTATCGAAATACATCAATAGAGACAAACTTCTCCAAAATGTTAGATTTGAAATTACTAACATTAGCATTATCTCTCTTTGAAATGTTGTTTCACTTATTTTAGTTGTCCTTATTTAGTCTACATGTTATAATTATTCGTGTATCCAACTTCTATTAGTGATTGGACTTGCCTTCTGGTAGTTTTGTTACTTTATATGTTTGATTAACTGTTAGTTTGAATCACTTTTCTTTTCTACATATTTTTAATCTATTGAATGTAGGCATATAACATACAATTGTATTGAACACAGCACTGGGACTTGTTTGGCCAAAAGATGTACGTAGATTGTGAAATTTTTGAAATTACTTATGTGAGTAATTCTCCACCTTCAATGTACATGATATATAGGTCCTTCTGTTGCTCATTCCAATGAAATGAATCTTGTGAACTTGTAGAAGAAAACTGGACAAACCAACGTAAGACAAAGTCTGTTATCTTCACAAATAGTTCTGTAATAATTTTGATTCACTTCAATTATTTTTTATGTCATAGGGATGCTTGAAAAGTTATGTTGAGCATCCAACATCTTGCAATGGACTTGTTATGATTTTTAGTTATGCTGGTCATCAAACATTGTAGGAATACTGTTTGGATCAGCAAACCAAGGTTAAAAACTACAACTTCTCGTAGGTTCTATGATCAATTAGAATCAGCTTACTAAATTTCAGATATAATCAAGCATAAGTATGATCTATTTTTCTTTTATTTGCTAATGATACCACCGAAGCTCTTTTATAATTTAAGAAATTCCATCTCTATGCTTGTTTGCCTCCTCTTTCAAGAAATTTACAACCTGTTGTTGCTTTCAGATGTTGTAAAGTGCAATTACATAATATCTAGGGTATGCTGCTGGCTAAACTTCTATCTGACCAAACATATTGTAACCTTATGGTTAATATAGTATGCTGTGATTACTTATTAACCATGAAATCAGCTTATAAGTGAATTTCTGATATAACCAAGCATGAATATGCTCTTTTTTTCTATTGTTTGCTAATGACACAAGCAAAGCACTTTTAATTCAAGAAATTCCATGCATATCTATGCTTGGATGCATCCTCTTTCTGTGGTTTCATTGGTTGCAGCGCAAGCACACTATTTCAAGTTCAAAAAGGCTTTGTCATCTAATTTAAGTTGATCATGCTCTTTCGATCAAAGAACTCCGTGTTAGTTGCATTCCTTTATGATCATTTCTTTTCATTTTCATTTAGATACTCTTGTTTTTTCTTTCAACTTCTAGGTATGCAAATTAAAACTATGAGATTTCAAGGGTGCCCTGGTTGATGCTGAATTTGCATTGCGAGAAAGAGACGGGTATGACAAAGCATACTTTCGCCAGGGTCAGGTTAGTGTCCTTATCTTTGCAACCTTTATATGTTAATGTACCTATAACCATAACTTCTTTACATTCTGAGTAGGAGGGATTAATCATGTGTTAATAGCATTTTCTCCTTAAAATTGAATTGTGGCAGATTCAATAGTCAATTATAGGCTTCTACCAAATTATGTTATTAGAGAGAGAAAACATTATGGGATGATGAACAAATCTAGCAAGCATCATTCATCAATGACATGACATAATAACTGTAATTTATTTATAGTTGCAGGTTGCTTATTAATAATCATGAATGTTGGATAGCATATTAACATTAATAAGTGTATTTATGAGGAAAATAATATCATATTAACTTGGCATTTTAATTTTTATTCAATATTCAATTTAAAACTTGACAACTCCCCAATCTGAATCCAAACAAGACTCAAAAGCGCATCCAAATCATGTGGGACCCATCAGTGTATTCAGAGTAGTCGACAAAGAGGTCTGACAATTTGTGGCTCAATATGAGCCACCGGTGGGTAGCTTTCAATACAACTAACTTCACATATATCTCATCTAATCAACATAGATAATGGGATTATGCAATAACAGTGACCTTTTGGTAGTTCTGGAAAGAGAAAAACGGACAACGGTTAATATTATGCATAATTCAGTTTGACCTGCTCAATGTTGGGGCTCCCACAACCATCCTCATACCCAAGATCTCCCTCTGATTATAGACCTATCTCTTGCTGCAACTGTGTCTACAAAGTGATATAAAAAATTATTGCCGCCAGAATCCAGAATGTTATTGGCTATCTGATTAATGATGCTCAGAGTGCATTTGTCAAGGGCAGGCTGATTTCTAACAATATTCTCCTAGCACATGAACTCTTAAAACACTATGGCAGGAAGAATGTCTCTCCAAGGGCTGTCCTTAACATTGATTTGAGGAAGGCATTTGACACTATAAATTGGAATTTTATCAAGGCTATGCTGACAGGTCTGGGATTCCCTGATAATATGGTTACATGGGTGATGGAATTCCCTAATAATATGGTTACATGGGTGATGGAATGCATTTCTACCTCCAAGTTCTCCTTGTCACTTAATGGCTCTTTACATGGCGACTTTGAGGGAGCTAGAGGACTGAGGCAAGGAGATCCATTGTCTCCCTATTTGTTTGTGCTTGGTATGGAGTATCTATCCAGAAAACTCAAATTTCTCAGCACAGACAGACTGTTTAAATACCATCCAAAATGTGCTAAGATGGGTATTACTCACTTGGTTTTTGCTGATGATCTACTGCTCTTTTGTAGAGCTGACATGGATTCTATAGCCAAAATTAATAACTGTCTTCAAGAGTTTAGTAAAGTATCTGGATTGGAGGCTAATTCTTGAAAAAGCTCTGTCCTCTTGAGTGGAATTGATGATATTTCTAAAGATCTGATATGCTCATACCTAAATTTTCCAGAGGGTTCTTTACCTATGAGATACTTATGAGTGCCATTGGTCTCAAAAAGGCTCTCTTACCTGGATTGTTCATCATTGATCTCAAAAATTCCAGATAAACTTCAAGACTGGCAAAGTAGGAAGAACCTATCTTATGCAGGGAGAATTCAACTTATAAAAACTGTTATCTTGGGTATTCAAACTTACTGGACAAGTAACTATATCTTGCCGATGAAGGTGCTGGAAAAAATTGACATGCTTTGCTCTGCTTTCTTATGGGGAAGCAAAATCCATCTGGTCTCCTGGACAGAAGTCTGTAAGGATAAGAAGCTAGGAGGTCTGGGGTTATTCTCCTCCAAATTATGGAACTATGCTGCAGCAATCAAGATGTTATGGATGATACACTCTAAAAAAGATCTCTTGTGGATAAAATGGGTGCATGGAAATTACTTAAAACAACAGGAGATTTGGCAAGTTCAACCGAGAAAAAGTGATTCATGGATGTGGAGACAAATCCTAAGGGTGAGGGATTTGGTGTTGAGGAGGTTTGGGAATGTGTATAACCTCTATAGAATCATTGCTAACTGTCACAATAATGAGACAATGAAAATCTCATCTGTTTATAATGCCATATCTCAATCTGCAGCAGCTGTACCCTGGGCGAACACAGTTTGGGGGGGATTGCATTATCCAAAGCATTCGATGATTCTATGGCTTGCTACTTTGTCAAAGCTTCTGACTAAGGATAGGTTGTGTCGCATGGGTATATTGGAAGACAACCAGTGTGTGCTCTGTGCTGATTCTGTAAGTCATCAAGAATCTAGAAATCACTTGTTCTTTGAATGCCAGTTCTCTTCCTATGTATGGAACAATTTGATGGCATGACTGAAGTTTTTGTGGAGATCCTGCTGCTGGAATCAGGTATTGCGATGGTACAACAACAATTTGAGGGGGCTTGGATTCAAGAAGAAACTGAAGAGGATGATGTTATCTAGAGCTGTGTATTGGATATGGAAGGAGAGAAATCTGAGAATTTTTTAACAAAAAGCCCGTAGCCCTGATCTACTTATCAAGGAAATAAAGATTTCATTACTTTCAAAGGTTCTTAATGAAGATGTTCCTGAGTACTTGAGGGAAGAAATAGCAAAATTGTAAATTGTTAGAGAGTCTGCAGTTCCTTGGTTGCCAGATAGGTTTCTGGTAGTTCTTGTTGCACTCCTATTTCAAAATTTGGTGATGAATAAAGTTTATTTCATTGACCAAAAAAAAACATCCTCATACTCTTCGTGCTGGTACCTATATGCTTCTTATTTTTTCTGTAATGTAGACAATTTAGCATCAATTAACTGTAGTCTGATTGTACTTGTATCCTCTATGTAATAGGTTTGAGCAAGGTTCCTGGAAAAAGCAAAGAATGGTATCTTTATTGATCCTTAGTTCCAAATAACACTTTGCGTTATGAATCCATCATAGGTTATTTGGTTCCAGGGGTTGGTTGATATATATTTAGCTTATCTTCTAATAGTTTTAAGTTTTGGATGAAGTTAGTTAAGATTGATATACTTGTCGGCTCTCAACTCATCATCTTTCTGCTGTTCATGTAATTTTTCATGACTAATATACGAATTTCAAAAGGAAAAAATAAAAAAATAAAAAAAAGAACCAACTTTTGTAGCATCCATCGAGACAACCAAAAACAGTAAGTAAACTACCATTAACAAAACGAACTTGTATAGAGTTGTAGTACAAAAAGTTAGTGTAGAACTTTTAAGGAATAGCTTAAGTGTTACTGAAAAAGAATTAGCATAAGTTTTACTTCTAATCATTTATTTGGTATTTGTAAACAATTATGTAAAAAAAAATTCCTTCAGTCTAATGTAATATTAGTTAAGTTGACGAAAAGGTTATTTGTTAATATTTATATAGTTGTTACCTTTACAAAGTTCATAAGTACTTAAATATTCAATTTAAGCCAAATGATGGTGATATGTCTTCATAAATTTTAATTTTTTTAATTTCTTGAGCATGTTTCTACCATACTAATGTGTTGTGATCTCTCTTAAAAATATGTGTTTGTTTGAATGAAAAATAAAGGAGGAACATGCTGCTGTGAACAAGAAGGTAAGTGAAATTATGAGGCCATTTGACTGCATCTTCAATTACTTGAGGAATTTTTATAATATCTGTGTGAGTGGCATACATTTTGTTTACTCTTGATTGCATAATTTTTAACTTCAGCTCAATTAGCACTCTTCATCTTGTTAAACATTAAATTTAGACGTCATAAAAAGTATACAGAGATATTTATTAGCTATTTAAAATTGATAGTGGTAATAGGATAACAGAGAAAGATGCAAGTGAAGGAATTTGAAACATCTATATTCTTATTATTAAGAAATAATTATCCAACAAAATTTATGCACGCGCAACATGTTCTCTATGACTAAATCTGAGCATATACAAAACACGCACAAAAGATTTACAAATAAGGTATTGCTTGATTTTAATAAGCAATTTAATAGATCAACGCATGTTTAGAAATTATTTGCAAATTATTAGTTTTGAGATGATACTGAATGTAGAGTAATTATTCAAAGCATACATTAAATATGACACATAAACTAATATCTGAAACATTAAACATCAAACATGTTATTTTCAAACCGATAATTAAGTCAAGGATGCAGTTTACACTCTTACTACTCTCTATGCATTGTAATAATAATATAACATTCAGACTTATCTTCCCTTGTGCTTATAATTGTTTGATTTCTTGAGCCTTACCCTGTTTATTTTACTATACATTGCAGGAGCGGTTGAAGAAGCTAAATTAAGAACATGGAAAAGTACGAATTGGCAACATCACTGTGGATATGGTGCTCATCTCAACAAATTATGGATATGTAAATTTTATGTTTCCCATGTGGCCGTGTGGGCAACACACCTATTACTGACACATAGCCGATAGCGTCTGGATAACGTTAATTGATCTCAAGTCGTTGAATTTTGATAGATTATAGGTGGAATGAGAGGAATGACTAGATTATTGTGGGAAACATCATTACTTGATCCTAATGACATGAGTTTAATTGTAACATATGCTATGTATTGAAGACAAGTGCATTTTTTTTTAAAATATTGCCAAAATAATAAAAATTTGATACAACATCAGCAGAGTTTTGGTGTGCTTCCTTCTAGAATGTCTGAGACTAGACAAAATATTTAAATAGATGACGCAACGTTTATATTTTCAGAGTATTCAATTTAGGGGGTTTTCTATCCCTGAATGTCAAAAAGTATTACCTGCTGCCAGCGATGGGAAGGATCCATTGCCCGAGGGTCCTGTGTGGCTTCTTTTGACTGGAAAGATAATTATTAACTTGCTTCTATTATTATCACTAGGACATTTTTCATGTATTTTCCCTAATTATTACCGGTGTTTGTTTGCCATTTTTGGTGCTGTTTTACATGATATCCTATTGTGTACGGAGAAAGATGCAATAGTAGAATGCACCTTAATCAAGGTAAATTCTCGAATGTTTTATATTAATTTACTTATTTATTGTTAATGCTAACTTTCGTAATTACCCCTACAAAGTGTAATTAGTGTAAATAAAACGCATATTAGAAGCTTATGTGTCAAGATAAAAAAAAATGTGGTAAATAGAATAAAGAATGAGGGGTAATTTAGAAAATGTGGTTTTCATATATGAATAATAAAGTTATTCAGTATTGAGTTGCTTTATTAAATCTTTTGTGTGTTTTTTGTGTATGTTGATATTAAGTCAAAGATAACAGGTTGTGTGTATAGTATTACCCAATAAATCACTAAATGTAATTTCATTGTTCAAATGATGAGATTTTAGCTTATGTCTATATGTTTCATCCATTACTTACATTCAATAATTTAATAACAAACATTTCCCTAAATAAAATTATAAACTTAAAATAAATAATAAAAAATTTACCACGTGCATTGCACGTGCAATCTAACTAGTATATGTGTGTGTGTGTGTGTGTGTGTGTGTGTGTGTGTGTGTGTGTGTGTGTGTTTTGGTTTTATAGTTTTCAAGTTTATACAAAAATGATTTTGTGAAAATATTGTTTTATTAGTTTATAGACTTAACAATCATAACATAATAACATACATCTTTTATTAAGTCTATGAAATCAGTTTATGAAGTTTTAAAACATGGTGTAGTCAAAATGTCAAAACAAGTATGTTTCGTTTTATCATG